GCCGTCCGAAGAGCATTCGGAAAACACTTGTCACGCTTGAAATTTTTTGTCCAAACCTGGCAAGGAGGTACTATACCAGCAACTGTCATGGAAGGATATATAAAATCCCAAATTCTCTGCTGAATCAGTCACTGTTTCCAAATCTGACACTCCCGCGCCTTGTAATACTGGAAAAATAAGCAGAAAGAACCATAGAGTAAAGGAATAGCCAAACAACTGAATATACCAGAACCGAAACTGAAAAACAAAGCAGAACAATTAAACATACAGTCACAAGGTGTCCATTGCGTTACAAACCCCATCCACAATTCACTTCTGGTTCTCCTCCCACCGGCTGCACAAGTAAACCATTCCATTACCGTACCCACTCATGTGTTATAAAATAGAACCAACCACCAGGACATGTTTTGTCTTATTCCCCCCCCACACGGTACATATATAATGAATCAATATGAAGTCCATGGTATGTAGGAATCTTTAGGCCAGAAGTGGTACACTTTACCCATCGGTTTTGGAAGAACACGGTCTGGATGATGGCCGCGGCCATGGGAGTGCAAACCTTAATAGGAATAAGGGTTAGGGTGGAAGGAACTTCATCTTGCTGGATATTCTCGCCGGGAATAGGGATTTACTCTAAATCAACTTTTCTAGGCAAGAAAGATCTAGAGTACACGATGAATCGACCACCAGGTTGAATCTGGTCTCACGGATCTCTTGACAATTGAAATGGTGGATGGTGATATCATGACTGCGTGTTCCGTTTGAAAATTTGAATGATTTAGCAGGTGGCCGGGAGGGGGGAGTTAAAATCGAAACATTGATATCGAAGTGAAAACCATGAATTGCCACTGACAACCCGCCTCAATCTTCAACCCCATTTTTATTATTATATAACAAACTCGGTGGAATTACTAGTAAAACCTTCCAATTTCCCTCATCTAGAAACAATGTCTACCTAGTACCCGAAGCCAGTGTTAAAAAGGCTACAAGGTAAACCTAAACATGGAGCCTTTGTAATTGATACTTGCTCTGGAATAAAAAATTCTCTTACAATCTTCAGCAAACCGGCTATACTCCCCGAGCAAGCAACGGACCTGCCGGGCATATTGGCATGAGTAAGATTTGCTCCGATTCGGTATCCCAGTCCGAGAATTAGCCGAATAAACCTCAATCACTTCGGACGCAAAAAAAAAGCCCTTCTTTACTCAGTAATTTTGGATGAATTACCTCCATTTCTATCGCGTAAGAAGCTAGGAAAACCAATGGTAACTTCTGGTTAGTGGTAAACCTATGGTTGGCTCGGCGTTGATGGTAACATGCGGAAATAGATAACTTAAGTTCGGATAAACAAAATCCCTCCATCGAAAGTGCTCAAAACAAAAAATAATCATCTGCTGCAGCAAAGAAAAAAAAAACAACGAAAAAAACCCTCGCACTTCCTCACGAATCATGGTGTCCGCAAAAGGAAACCTCGCTACCTGAGGCTAGCTCACACGCGTGAATTTGATGCCGACGTGAGAAAGAATGCCTCAATGCCATCATCATGTCAGTCAAAACAGCGCAACGCGCAATACACCGTTACGACTTGCCGCGGAGAACGTGATGATTGCGTTTTCCTCTACGGCAAAGAAAGTATAGAGTACTTAGTAGAGGTTAGGGTCGTACGAATGGTGTTAGTCAAAACCCAATGCAGGAATTCCAAAATCACCAGCCACCACCAATATTTGTCCGGAGCAGACAGTCCGTGAACCCAAAAGGGCAGTCAAAAACTCTCTCTAGTATCGACCTTGTTCTATTGCTATGTCTTTACCAGCCTTGTTCACACCAAATTCCACTAACAAACGGGTTAGGCACTCCAGTTTGACTGCAATTTTGGGTGAACGAACGGTGTCCAGTGAGTTGAGTAAGATAAACAGGCTAGTCTAGCGGTCTAGCTTGGGGGTTTCGACTGCAGTATGTTACCCCAACCCTATTATCCCAATATAACAGGGGTTGGGTTTTTGGTTTTATATATCATCATCGATGGAGGGTTGGCATCTGCTGATGACAAGATCAATTATGTCATGCCGGATACTCAGTCAGATGGATAGATGAAGTAAGATATTCCACGTCAAGTATTAAGTGAATCTGACCAAAGGTTTGAGTTCTACAGGTCGTGAGGTTGGAGGGACTTCAGGAAGGAACAAGAGGCAGTGAATTCAAATCAGTACCTGAATTCCACTCTCTGAAGGTGGCTGCATAATACGAATTAGCTAGGAACGCTAACTAGACCCCTGCCGTCGATCTCCCGGTTCTCTTGCTCGCTTCCTGTCTGTGTGTAAGGCAATCCTTGGTAGAGTAAACTATGCCCGCAAACGTTGTGGTGGGGGAGTCAATGGCTAGATATTGGGTGCGGGCAATACTGACTATGGATCACAGGCGTGATATCAATGTGCGATGCCTGAAGACACCCCTAGATACTACTTCGGAGTTAGCTATCTGACATGGAAGCTCGTGCCCCACCTGCAGAGCCAGACCGATGATGGATCCGCGCGGAATCCGAGACCCGTACAGAATCCGATATCCCATATGTATTCCGTCCCGGGGGAGGCACAGAAACCGACAGTCCCATCGGAATCATCAATTATTCAGCCGTACGTACTGGCAAATGAATCTCGTATATCAATGTTCTGCTGTCGTTGGATATCACAATGCTCCAACACCTCGAAAAGTGTAAAAAGTCGAAACTGCAAACCAAGTACCATGTCCTGTGTCTTAAACAAACATGATGCTGCCTCTGGGGAGTCTGTTAGAGATAGCGGAGGCAAGCGGATGAAAAATAATTGCCGTATAACGATTCGCCGGCAAGAATAAATAAAACGCCAAGTCAATGCAGTTATGGGGAACTTCCAATTGTGAAGGTTGTCTGCGATAGAATGCGGGGTCAGCACACCCCACGGTGTTGGATGTTTGTTTAGGTGGCGAAGGAGGGACGGACGCCACTAGGAAGCACTGTTGCAAGAGTCGCGTGTGCGGTGAAGGAATTTATGGCCCCGAAAGACGATTGTGTCAAATAACGGCATCTTCGACAGTCGCTCTGTCCGTCCACGCGTCGTCAAAGAAGCCCAGGCCAATAGCCGGCTCAAACCGGCGGAGGTGGAACTGTGTCAAATCCGACAGTCAGCACTTAATAAAAGGTCCCTATTCCCGACCTATTTTCACGGACCCTCAATTATAGCGGGAACGCTAACATCTGCCAAGAGGACCGGTAAAAGCTTAACTTGAACTGCTCCCTCCAACGAGTTTCTGGATTTTTCCTGTTGGTATGATATGATAATAGTATGTGAGTTAAGAATGTGATGTGTAAAGCTCCCCAACATCTCAAGGTTACGACGCGCGCATCAATTGCAGGTGGCTGTGAAAGAAACTCCCAAAGCAGCATCATCATCAGCTGTCACCGCTGCTAGCGAATTCTCGCTAGGGACTATACAGATCAAGAACATCGGATATCCCGGCACCGCAGCAACAACAGCAGCAGCGGTGTTGTTGCTGTGTGTCTCTTTCGTGGGGTTTTCAGCACCCCTCCCTCTTCTCCCATCACCACCGCCGACCTGGGGTGGGTGAGGCATTTTCATTGGGTCGGTAATAACAAAAGAGACTGGCCCTGCCCACACTTCTCTTTCTTTATCTTGCTGCTGCTTTCCCTTGGTTTCCCTCTCTCTTCTCCTACTCTCACTCTTACACCTACTCTTGCGCTTCGAACTCGAATGAACTCGACTTCTGGTGTGTTGTTTGTTGTATCGCGTGATTATCCTCAGCTATAGTTGAGTTCGACCATATTAGACAGAGCGCCTCCTCCACTCCCCCAACCACCCCCCCGAAAACTCCGTCGTCGTCGTCGCTATTCTCTTCTCCATCAATCAATCCCTTGTACCCACCGAGATCGTTGCACAGGTTAACTCAATCAATTCGTTCAATCAATCCTTTGAATTCCATCCCATCACTCTTATCTCTCATCTATCATTCATCATCTGTTCAATGACGACATCCTGCTTGCTTGCCTGCTTTCCTGCTTGCAGCTGTCTCACCTCACATCGCACATCTCCCTCCCCCAATGCTCCCAATTCTACTCACACCTCAGCGACAACAATACTAACTCCCCGCGCACTCCAGATCCATCCATAACCCACCGCCACCACAACCAACAAAATGCCCGCCATCGATGTTGCCCACGACCTAATCAAGCGCTCCAAGAAAACTGGAAACTTCGCCCAGCGCGAACCCGGTGTAATCCTCGTCTTCTGCATCATCGGCACCATTGTCATCCTACTCACCGCTCTCGCCATCCACAAGCGTGCGTCCGCAAAGAAGGCTGCCGCATTACACTAAAAAACTTCGGTTTAGGGAAGGAGAAGGAGAAGGAGGAGGAGGAGGAGGAGGAGAAAGAGGAATGTATAATACTTAGATGGGGCATGCGATATGATATATCATGTGATATCCACGAACTTTGATGGAAGGGGAAGGGGAGTGTAATTAATCGATGGCTTTCTCTTTGAAGAGTGGGGTGTGTGCTTTCTCTCAAAAAACCTTATCATACCTTTTCTTATTCTACTTTATTATTATTTTTTGAACATGGGAAACTTGTGGATTAAGGAGGTTTGGTTGGTTTATTTTGTGGTATGGAGAGAGAAAGAAGGCTGGGAGAAACTGCTGCAGTTGGTTTGTTGAACAAGAAAAATAATAATGATTGAAGACAAACTTTGCTTCGTCTTCATACACCTTCAACATAAGAGAATCAATCAATTCAAACTCCAAAGTCATCTTGCACTGTACTGAGAACCTTCTCGTGTCTCTAGCTTCTCGCACGAGGCACGAATGATCATGAAACCTGGAAATTGATCCGAGACAAAACAGCAGCAACAACGTGGGCAGAGACATTGTTTCTCGATAACACACTGCACTCATTCTCGCTGCTTATTCAACTACACTATCGCATACCAAAAGAAATCACGAAAAAATGACTCCTCCGGGTGGGCTTGAACCACCAACCTCCCGATCGCAGAAACCTGTAAAGGTTTTAACAGTCGGACGCGCTAGCCAATTGCGCCACGGGGGATGTTTGATGTCAAATGGACGTCATGTAGCTCTATGTTTTGCTGTGGAGAGTACGCCGTTAACCGTACCGGTGTACCGCAACCGTCGCGAGCGAACTGGGGATATACTCGAGTATCTCCGGTATTTTGGGTAATTGCTACTGCTGAGTGTTGCTGGATGGGTACTGACCGTTTTGTTTTGCTATTTTTGAGGCAGGTATAATCACTCGAAGCTAATTCTAGGCCGGCGGCATTGACCGGGGTTGTCCGGCGATGTTTTGACCGCCGGCAAACCTGGTATAATGAGCTTCTCTTCATTCTCGCTTGTCATCCCTCCTTCTCTTTTTCATATCATCTTACATTCCAATAATAGCAAGATTCAGCTTCAATACTTTGTAACAGTACGTATACCTGACTGAGCTAATGATCACTGGGTTTGTGGGAGTAGAATTGATTATAGAAGATACTTATGCGTTCACAGTGTACCAGTATATTCGCTTGTGCTAAGTTGGTCTGCCAGAAAAGATATAAGTCCCTTATAGGTCGATCGTAGCTTCTTGGTGAACTTCTGTGGTTTGTGCTGGGCATAAAGGAATGATTTTTCTAAGGAGGTGCCCGAGATCTAGAAGGACTGCTACTCCCTTGGGATGCACTCAAACGTATATATCCCCTGGACAGCTGCGTAGAACTATACTCATCGAGACATCTATACTCACGTCCCATGGTGGCTATCTTTCACCCAGCTTGTCAAGCACAATTGTATTGTTGGGGGCTATACTTTTGCTATCACTAGTTTAAGGATGTTAGGAGCTAGAGCTGGATATGAAGCTGGGGTTTTGTCCGCAGGTAGATCGACGAATTGTGGTGGGGACTGTCCAAAAATAATAGACGGGGAGTTTGGATATTTATACTGACGAGACCATCGAGCTGCAATCTATGGCTCTTTGCCAGACTAAGAAAATACAAATCTATAGCGAAAAGCACGCGTTGGGAGAGGTCACAATCTACCATAAATTCCGGCGTTTGCTTCATCCACCGGCGTTTGTTGTGAAAAAAGCCCTACACTGGATCTCCTCACAGACTCACCAACTCACCACTTTCGCAATGCACCTATCCCATCGAGAACCTTCTCCACCGCGCTGTCGCCACTGTACTCCGCGCTCCAGCTACCCGCCCTACAGCCGGCGTGTCCTATGTGTAGATGGACACACGGTCTACTGCCGCAGATGCAATCGCACAATCTGCAGCGACTATCGGGAGGCGTTTACGCGCGAGCTTATAGCGTGGTTTGAATTTGAGGAGTAGCAGGAGGGGTTATATGTAATAAAGAATGTCACTGGGCACGATAGTTTGAGTTTCCTTATATTCAACAGCGTCTGCCACTCATACATGTATACATGAACCGCACACAAAATCTGCATTATTTAGAAGATGTCATCAACTCGTTCCCATCCCGTCTCCCCCTTTGCAACTTTATTCCTCATATCCCAATACTCGCCCGTAAACTCCCAATACTCCTCACTTGAGATCTCGCACACAACCTTCTTGAACCACCGTGGTTCATGATGTGTTCCATTCTCTTCATTCTCCCTTCTCTTCGCCCTCTGTTTCTCTTCCAATCGATTCTTCTCCGTCGCCGCAAAATCATACTCTCCATCCTCCATCGCACGCTGGTCTGGGCGCAATCGGGTATCGGTGGGACATAGATACGGTTTCAACGTGTCCGGGATGGCATTCAACGTGATGGCAAAAGGAGTGAGAGAGAAAGGTGCTGCAGGACGGGGGTTGTTTTCCCAGACCAGAAACGCGGCGGCGGGGTTGGAGCCGTGAGATCCGGAGCGAATCGATGAGGAGGAAACAGTAGGCGGGGGGGAAATATTCGCGTCGTATCCTGGAGACAGTCTCGCATACATCTTGTCATTCCATCTGCCGCCCACTGACCACATCTGCGTGCCATCGTTATCCACAATGCGGCCCTTGACTTCATACGCGTTTGCACCCCTCCACCCTCGTGCCTTGAAGTCAAGTAAAGCCGTTACACCAGTGGTCCAGTTTTTAATCTCCATAAGACCGTAGTTGTCGACGGCTGGAGATCCTGTAATGATACCAACCACCGAGGTAGTGACCTTTTTCCATGTGTACAACTCCTCACCGCCAGTGATGGGACGCAGACGAAGAAACCATGTTCCTAGCGGGTTGATGTCGAAGCTTTTTCCGTAGAACTTGCTCTTGACGGCAGATTCACCCCAGTAATCCCATTTCTCGGCCTCAGCGTGCGCAGCACCAATAGGAGGGTGGTGCGATACTTGCTCCACAAAGAAACGGTAATGTTTGTCGGGGCGACAGTATTCGTAGGTTTCGCCCAGAAGGGGATTAAACGGCTTTGCAACACGGCCTGTGGTTGAGGAGTACTCTGATGCGGCGAATGCGGCAACGTATACCATTCGTTCGGCGGGGTCGGAGCGGTCTGCGGCGTGGTCAAGAAGGTCGGTGTATTCCATGTCTTCTGCAACACGTTGAAGGAGTGATGTGGGCTCGTTGAAGGATACCGGAAGTGTCATCTTAGTCATATCTTTACCGACCATGGATTTTAGGATACCCTGATTAACTGTTAGTTGCAAATGTTGATTTGAACAAAAGTCATACATACCCAAAGAGAAATCTTGGGTCTATCATCGGTATCCATGGCTAGCCTTTTCCGAGGGGGATCTTCATAACCAATGAAACTCGTCTTGACAGCAATCAGTTTCTGCTGCCTCAGCCCTACTCCAAGTTGCGTAGTCTCTCCAACGTCCTCCACGCCGTCACTTTCAACGGGAATTGCAGGACTCTTCAAGCCTGCTGTTGGCATCTTTTTTGCAACCTCCAACTCCCCTGCGTCAATAGCATCAAAGAACTGATCGCTGTCATCGCTATCACTCAGTTCCTCCTCGATATCCAGGCTCCTTCGCGCAGACCCTTCCTGGTTCAGTTCTATCTCTTTCAGCCTCTCCTCTAGATGTTCCACGCCCTCTCCCTCGACGTCATGTGCATTTTCAACGTCAGGTCTGCTAACCTTGCCGCTGTCCTTTCGCAACACCCTTCTCAGGGCACGCTTGGTCTTTTTTCGCCGTTCCCGCTCGCCCATAACTTCACCCTCAAGAGCCTCCTGCTCCTCTGCCAGCTTCATCATGCTTTCTTCCCACAGTCGCCTCAACGCGACTTCCTTCTCCATGCGATACCGCCAGTATGTGTCCCGTTCTTTACTCATACTCAGTAGGCTACCGATAAGCTGTTTCAAACTCCCAGCTGCGGATTCATAACTTTCCATTGCTGCGACAACTGAAGCATCGCTGAGCTTAAGGTCTGGATTGCTTGCGTGCTCAAATTGTAAGGCTAAAGCAACTTGCCCAAGCAAATCCAGCTGCAACCTCGCAGAATTTGCCGCAAGAGCCAAGGCATCCGAAGTAGGGGGCATGTCTGGTCCGTGTGAAGAGGCATCATCATCGATATCGTCCTCCTCATCATCACCCAAGTCGCCATCGGTGTTAATTGAATATGATTTCGGAACATATACGCTAGCATCTGACTGATCGCCGGCGCTGGCGTATGTAGTGCGGACTGTGCGAACGCTTGCCCGTTTGGCGCTAAAACCAATATTCTCCGATGCCGAGATGCTTCCTTGTCCTTTGATATCGCTCACGGTGTCACTCTCCGCGGTGGTCTCTTCGTTCTGTGCTTGCTCCCTGAGTCGGTCTAACACCTCTGACTCCTCTCGCTTTTTTCGCTCATCCAACCGGGCTTCGTCTTTTGCCTGTTGAATGGCGTTGTTGAGGGTCCAATACCAGCGCTTGGCTTCAACGATATGGTTAGCTTTGAGATGATACTTTACACTGCCCTTTCCATGAATCTCGAACCGCTGTTTGTCTGCTGGATCTATGTGAAGTTTTGCTATTCGCATGTTGATGGCCCCTCGACATGCTGAACCAGTGTCCTCTATACAAAACATCAGCATTTTTGATGGACAAACAAACATTACGTGGCAAACCTTGGTTCTTGTAATAACTTAGCACACCGTCCTCTAGTACGAACCACCGCAATTTATAACCTCCAGTATAGTTCGTCCACTTCTTCAGATATCCCTTCATTTCCCTTGTCTCCTTACTACCTAGAGTTCCCTCCCCAGATCCTCCACCGCCTTGATGTCCCGGTGGAGCGTGTTCTGCTGCAGACCCCAGCACTGCTCTCTCCTCAATTCCGCGTGCCGCAGCAACTGCTGCCGGACTCCTCTTCAGTACACCACGTGTCTTCTCATCTTTCGTAACATCTTGCGGCAGTTTCCCTTTATGGTCCCGCCTGAACGGATCGGCTCCATGCATCAACAGCAGCTGTATGAGCTTCGTGTCTCTCTTCTTGGCCGCCTCATGTAACAGCGTCGAACCGGGCGCATCTGGGGGTTCCAATGCATTAAGATCTAGCAATCCCTTTACACGTTGATTATTGAGGAGCTCCTCGAGCTGTTCATATTCTCTCGTCTGCACCAGGTTATGAAGCGTTTCAACCTTGTCCTCCAGAAACAAACTCCTAGCGAGTTGTAGCATTTGGAATATATGCGGAGTACGAGCCATCTCCAGTGGTGTACGGTTGGCGTAGTTATGTACAGCATCGTTAATGCCCGGTTGCTTTAGCAACAGCGATACCACCTCCGTTCTCCCCAGCTGCGCGGCAATATGTAGTGGGGTGTTACCCGCGGTTAATTCCCGCCCGTTGATATCCAAGTATGGTTTCTGGGCGGAATCCGGGTTCGAGCCAGTGGTTGAAAGAATATATTCAATAACGGGAAGTTCCGCACATTGTACCGCAAGGTGGAGAATCGAGGATTTGTTTCCCATGCCAGATAGCGAGTTCATCGATTCACGGCAATTTGGGTCATCTGCTAGGGTTTCGCGTATGACCCTTGAGATAGCAGCTGTATCACCGTTCCGTAGAGCTTCATAAAGCCGAAACGTCCGCACGGTTTCCTCAACGCTTTTGGCTCCACCGA